AGAGAGAGAGAGAGAGAAAGGTAGAGAAAATGAGAGAGAGTGAGAGGGAGAAAGAGAGAATGGGAATAAGATAATAAATCGGGGTCTTCGGTACTCCAAATTCTTCCTACTTTCCTTTCCTACTCCCGAGTGTCGAAGACATTTTTAGATCAATGAATGTTGTCAATGTACGCGTCGCTTTAGATTCGCGCTTCGCGAATCGGCCGGGTGAGGCTCGGTTCACGCTGTCACGAGAAACGGACCGACGCACCGAACTAAAAAATATTACACCACACGGTAATTCGGTTTAATGTACTTCACGCCTGAGATACTCGACGAGGATGTTACACGAGGCGGTCGTCGATGTGGACCGCGTGAATCGTGTTCCGGTACACGCAGTCGATACGCGGATCGACGAATTCGAAAGGGAGGGGGGGGGGGAAGTATTCGCCATCGCGGGGTTGCTTAATGAATTGACGGTAATAATCAACAGTCGTTTTGTCATTGATTTATCGCGCTGCTGACTGACTTTGAACGTCGGAAAACTTTGATGTTTCGAAATAAAAATAAGGATCGAACATTGTACTTTGTTGCCTCACGTCTTGTCATTTCTACCTTCATTATACTATACCTTTATTACTGTCCATTTATTTTATTATCATCCATTTTTCATCTCGCTCGTCCAATGAGACTTACGTCGAGATAGAATTCGTAATCAGGTAAGTATTCTACGTAGCTACGTAGTTACGAAGTGAAGTCCACGCGTATCAAACGTGATATACATAGTACACTATTATTATTATTATGTATACGATTATTATTATGTAACAGCGCATGTAGATTCTAAGAACGCTTGGAGGGTATCGTGCAAGCAAATTCTGCATATTGCTTACATATTCCGGATTTGCATAACGTTACATATAAAAACTATACTGAATACATTTGTATGTTCAAGTTTTTTACCCAAGAAATATGTCTACATTCAGTATAACTAAAAATATTAAATAGTATATGTATAGAACGACATATAGAGTCATGAAATATACTTCTTATGTTAGAATAAAATCTCAGGAACATACTAAGGAAAAGAAAAAATCGGATTGGACTTTTTTATATCTTGAATATGAAAGAAATAAACATGATATAATCTGAATATTCTCAGAAGGTACATATTTTACATAAAAAGGAACGTATATTTCTCTATAATATATTATTTATCTCATTCTCGTAATGTAACGTCAAAGATTATTAATATACAGTATAAAAATGGGAAACATATCGAAATTAATATCGAAATACCGTATAAAAAACTAAATAAATTTATTTTCTACGGTTTATTTATAAATGAATTAATTATCGTAGTTAATTAATTTTATTCATTCATTCTATTAAAGAAATTCATATTTCATAATTTCCACGCTCGCGCTCTAGGCGGCGCCACTTTCCGGCCTTACAAAAGCGAAGAAGTACAGCCATCGGAATAAAAGATAAAATTTTTCGACTTACCAATAGCGAGAAAAGTGGATTTTTAATAATAAGAATACCATAGCTAATCATAAATGATCTATACACTTACTTGCTGCTGTATTTCGGCGAGAAAACAATACGAAGGAATATATAAGGAGCGATAGAGAATGAAATGTCGGATTTTCCAGATTGCGAAAAACACATTGTCAGTATCGAGATCGCGATTTCGGCAATCTTCGATGCGAATTATCCGAGTTTTTACACCTTACAAAGGACAGGCTCGATACAACATAGTCTCCAAGGAATGTTCTAGAGATGCAAAGGACATCTTACGGATAAGAGAATGGCTTAAGAATAAAATTCTCAGGACGTCCCTCGAATGAACTGTGCTGTATGACGCAATAAATTATCGCAAGAAACTCATCAATGGACGACGAAGAGATTCAAACGCGCACAAAGATCCACCACGACGCGCACTACATTGACAATTCGAAACATATCGAAGCGCGAGTTACGATTCTCGAAACATCGAGACGGTTGGGGCGATCAGCCAATCGTAGTACTCCACCGATTCTGATCACACTTCACGCGGGATGTCATGCGCCGTGATAGGTATATTGTGTATATTATCTTCTTCCTAACCTCATTATTGAACAGCTGATAAAATTTACATTGACGACCGATCGATTGAGGAGCGATCGGTGATAAAAACACGGTATGTGATTCTTTCTTTCAAAATGTTATCTATGTGAAAAGTTAAAAGTGAAAAGTTTAATCCGTATTTGAAATATTAATTTCCTCTTCTGATAACATAGATAAATCTTTCAGTCTCGATTTAAATATTTTTAATTTTTTTCAATTCTTAGAAGTAAAAAAATAAAAAGTAAATTAAACCGAAATTGAAATTAATCTATATTTGTTGAAATAAATATGTTGAGATAATATGTTAATATAATTACTATATTTACGTACATATACATATTTTTTTTATTTTTATACAGTTTTTTTGCAGGAGCATGTCAGGCTTGACTTTACACGCGCCAATGGCAGAATGCGAAAATGCAAGTACATTGGAGTGGACGCGACCCGATCAAGTGATGCAATTGCATCGTTTGAAATTAAGGAAACGTGCACTTCAAGCTCGGATAAATAAAACGAACATTAACACTGGCGACACCCAATTAACGACTACGAGTTTAGATACGCTTAACTCCAGTAATAGTCGTATATCTCAGAAGCGAAAGAATCCTTTTGTGATCAATGAAACATGCAAGAGACAAAAAAATATAGCATCAGCTGGGCTAGAGATTAGCAATGACAATACCTTGTTTGAATTATTAAATATTCAACAAAAAAAGTTAACGACAGATTCATCTGTAAATGACTCCTTAACTTTCGCCAACGTTCTTTCAAAATTAGAATTGACTAATCAGATTTCTGACGTAAGCACTCCTAAAGGTGTAAAGCATATCCCTATAGATTGGACGTTGAAAACTAAAATGAGATTTATGTCTCCAAAACCTTTTCCATGGAACAGCAAACTCAAAACAAGCGAAGAAGCATCGGGTACCACAGGATTCGTGAGATGTCTGAATATCGGAGACAAAGAGACCACTTTAGACACCAGTTTGAATGCAAGGTTGGTCTTATCAATCTTTGTTACTATTTGATTATTTGTATTTTCAAACCTTATAATACTTATTACATATTCTGTTTAGATTTCATCAGTGTTGCCTGATATGGCAACATCCATCTTTACCATGGTTAGAATTATTTCCTCGCTCTGCTGGCAAAGTGAGCGCATCTCTCGCAAATAACATATCGATAACAAACAATCAAAATATGAAAGATGCCTTGTATCGAGACTGGTGCGAAAGTTTCAGATCCCTATTTCATTTATTGCGTGTAAAACAATGTCCGTACTTCTATGTGTGCGCAAATACATTTACAGTGCTTTTTCGTGCCGCTGGTATTTGCGGGTTGTCGGAGATTCATGCTCTTGTCACACCAACAACACGAGGATTTCGTCAATCATTGAAACAAGAAGGTAGAGAATTTCGTTTACTTTATTTATTTATGAATCAAATTTAATTTATATATATATATATATATATATATATATATATAAAACTATAAAAATATAATACGAATCTATAATAAAAAAAATAATTTTACTAAAGATAAATTGAAACGAAAACATTCCGCGATATTAAAGTTTGTGTAAAATATTAACTGTGTCTCTTTCTATATTTTTCAGAAATAGAATATTCTATGCCGTTAAGGAAAGATTCGAAAAGACGATCCGACACAGGAGATTCTGACTCAAAGACTGTAGACACTACGTCTAATACTGTAAATCATCAGCAAGAGGATGACAATTACGAAGAAGAAGATGACGATGAAACCCAAGACGCATGGCTTGAGAGTCTTGGAGTGGAAAATTCGGAAATTAAAAAAATTAATCACTCACAGGTATGTGTGAATAATATTTTGCATTTTTAATTTGTCCTAATATTACATCGCTTTAGGCAAGAATGACTTTGGAGAAGGAAAGCGAAATAGATAACTTGAGACAGTCCCTCGTGTTCGTAAGAGGCGTAGAGACGCAAGCATTGTTCAACTTTTTAATTAATTGTAAATCAGCTATCGCAACGACAGGTGTATTAGCCGGTGTTCCACCGACGCTTTTAGCTCCAACGGGTTTTCACGGTGCTACATTAAAACCGCTCAAAGTATCGTTTAATTGGCAGAATATATAGTTTAACAATATTTTTTTAATATAAAACCTCATTCTTATATCATATGTTATTTTTGTTATTTTTTAATAATAAAGGTTCGAGAAAGTGTAGTGCATGATAATAATGACAAATATTACTCTCTTGAATTGAGAGGACCACTCTTGCCACACGTGTTGCCTTCTCTCTGTCATTTGATGAAATCCAGTCAACTAGAACAATATTCGGCAAGCTGCGCGCAATTGGCGTCTACAACTTCATTTTCCACGGCAAAACATGGTAGATACGTAAATATACGCATTGACGAAATCTTGTAAAATAAAGAACGAAAACAAAACAATAAATAATATGTTTATACTCTTATAGGCTGTACGATTAGCACGGAGGAAGAAGATTCCAATAACACAAAAGTACCGTCTAACATTTTTGGTCAAGAAAATTTAAGCGATTGTGGATTCAACCAGGAATTATTGAATCACTTTTGCAATCCTGACCCAATCAGAATAGAAATCTTGGAGAACCTCAAATTTTTTAACGGGCTATATACATGGTCTTGATGTAAATATGCGATAAATAAAATACAAGTGCACTTTTAAGTACATTTAAGACCATTGTATATGAAAAATCGATTTTAATGAAAAAAAAAACAAACGGCATTTTTTGTCTTAGACAATGTTACGTCACTGGTGACGCGTAACGTCCAATAACGAAATATCGTTATGCTGTCAAAATATAGAAATATCTAATGTATATAATATAACTGACATTAATGTAATGACGAATGTTCAATGTAATTTACATACACAAATCGCTATTGTAAATATATTTATTTTTATTGACGTGTAATTTAACGCATCATGATTTAAATTACTGTATGTGACAAAGTAACAAATATTATCGATATCAGGTAACAACGTTTTCATATGAATGTAACTCAGTGTAGTTATATGCCGATAATAACGTTACAATAGACTACATATTTTATATTTTGTCGCAATATTTTGATCTCTACTATGCTTAATATGACTACATTTATACAAGAATTAAATATTTTTATTAAATTATTACATATTGTATTTATATATATATATATATATATATATATATATATATTAAAGTAAAAGAGAAGGGAAAAAGAAGATCATGATTACACAAAATTAATTTATTTCAATCCGCGTTTTGATTGCAGTTTTTGACGCAGGATGAAAAACGATTACGTTATCGTCGATAAAAATTTCAGTTTTCCTAGAACGAATCACGCGCCATGGTAACACCATCATCGAGAAGGGCCGCTCGAGAACCCCGGGAACGAGGTATAGGTGGGGTCCACACAGCGGATGGACTGCCCCCTAAAAATAACGAATCGATATTCGCCCGCTGCCCCCAAATCAGTTACCGGACTCGCCGGACTCGCCTGGGTCACCGAGAGAAAGAGAAGGAGCGAGAGAGTCAACAATACGAAAAATCAATGGGTTTACTACATCGGAGATGCGACGTAGTAATTCTCTATCTCGCGAATCGCGAGCGGCGACTCACGCTCGCTTGATTGCGACTGATAAACGCGCGACGTAGATATATACATAGCGACAAAGATCGCCGGCGGAATATCGTCCCATCGGCGATGCGTTCGCGTCGCGTCGCGTCGCGTCGCGTCTCGTCGACACGGTAGCGAATATACACGCCGGGGATTACGTCAGCGTGCTCGTCGCCGTATTGCGACACCGAGCGAAGGCGGTTTCGCGTTCCAAGGTCTTCAGCCGAAGCGGCTCGAATTTTCGCGCGAGCGTGAAGCCGCCGCCTCGTTTTCCAGCTCGCGCCGTTTTCGCGAGCGAATTTTGCTTTTCGCCGCCCCTCCTCCCCTCCCGTCCCTCCCGCGAGCGGGCGAATTCCTCCGCGAGCGACGGATATCTTATCGCTCGTGCGATACAAACGGAATTCGAAGACGCTAATGGCGGAGAAGGACGGCTGCGCCTGACCTTCTCTAATTCGACACGGGCTCCAACTTCGAGGGAGAACGTCAATTTTAACAGAGAATACGTCAAGTTGAAACAACGTTTTACGTCTAGGATAAAATATATGCCGAATGTTCTCCGATGCGAGATTTATATTTTTTTTTCTTTTTTTATGACTGCAAATTTCTCAGTTGATTCGAGTCGATTTTTCCCTGATAAAAAAATCGAGGTCGAGGCTCCCACATCTTCTTCCCAGTTATGAACTAAAAAGTAAAGAACTGTTTGAAATTTACGGGGAGTAGCACGTAACGAAATTAAGCTTTTCCCTCGTTTGATATCAAGTTTCCTTTACTAAGATAGAATTTTAATTGCAATCTCTTATTAGTTATATCTAGTTACATCTAGTTATATCTAGTTATATGAAGTGATATATGATATATACGTCAAAGATGTAAAAGTTTCGATAAATGATGACTGATTGCGATGTATTCCCCAGGAGAAGTTTAATTTAAAAACTGTGCGAAAGAAAATATACCCTTGTGACACGAGACACACCCTACGTGTAGGTATTACCGCCCACGCGCGTTGTGTCCTTCGGTTTGTGCCACCCCTACATTTAATGGTGCTGCGTGAGAATATCGAGCTATCTCCGCGTCGTATCGGGACATAGATTACAATTATCTTCGTCTCTCCCGCAAATACCGCGTTTCTCTCGTATATAAACACAAAGGAAGAAAAATACAGAAAAAAAAATTATACAAACTCGAGTTCTCGTTGATTGAAAAG